TAAGGAAACAGACAGCCTTAGAGTAAATTTGCATAAGGGAGAACCATTAGGTAATATCTTTCAAACTGAAGAAGGCACATACCATTGGCCCAGCAATTCTGCTTCTAAGTAACAATCCTATATTTATATATATGAAAAATGACTTATATAGGAGGATATTCTTTATAGCATTGTTTGTATTAGCAAAATACCTATAGGAAATTAGGTATCTAAATTATCGATTTAAATATGTATTAATATGGAAAAATCTTGCAGATACACATTTTAAGTTAAAAGAAGGTGCTGAATAGATAGATCAATATAGTAGATGGATATAGACAGAAGGATGGATGGATAGATATTGTACATGTTGATAAGTGCACAGACTGTATCAGGAAAATACCAAGAATGTGACCAGGTGGCAATGAAGGGGTGTGAGAGAAAATTGTTTTGGACTGTGTCAACGACTTCTAATGAATATCAGAAACACACCCATGGTTGAACAAAGTTTGTTTTAACAACTCTTAGCAAGGAGGAAAAATACACATCAGAGCAGAACTGGGGTGTCTTAGCAAAAGAACGTAAGGAAAGATTTATAAGATTTGGGTGTGTGTCAAGTGGTTTTAAGGAGGGCTCAAAGAAATGTGGATCTGCCCCAGATTGGATGCGCTAAGGATGTGGGTGTAATTCTATGGCTACTATCTTAGTAATTCTTTTCTAGAAGGCAAGAAGAACAGAGCAAGGTTAAAGCTGTGTTTGGTAAAGAAGCAGCAGCCACTCATATAATCTAGGACAGAGACATATTTGGTCATTTTGTAGTTTAGGAAACATTTTTGTTTTTGTCTGTGGTCAGACATGATTACAAAGTTTGCTTTTATCTTGACCCATCATGTCTCAGTGGCTTTGTCTAATTTCAAATGTTGCGATGTTGTCTACAACAGAAGGAGACCAAGTCTTCTTGGGAGTGCCAAGCCACCTTCTGGCTCTCAGAGACTGTTTTGCTATTTCTCAACTACACGCCCTTTTGTGCCTTTGCAATTTTGTACCATGCACTTATCTATTTAAAATAATTTTTAAAAGAACATCAGGACTAAAGGAGACCTTAATAGTCACTGAGGTCTGAAACCATAACCCCACCACCACCACTTTGCTTCCTCCTCCCGCACCAAGGGGGTTTTCTTATAAACCCCTCCCTTTGCCTCAAGTGCCACAAGGGCATCTGCTTGAGTATCTCCAGTCTCACCATTGTACTAACTTGTCAGGCAGCCCATTCCATAGTCAAATAGCTCTCAATATTTTATTGTTCAGAGGTAAAGAGAACAATACATTTGGTTATAATATCGTCATTGTTTCCTCCCTAGCATTTTTTGACCTCTTGTTCTATGGTAACTCAGGAAACAAAATAATTAGCTTTTTAATTTTATGTAAAATATTCCTATTAATACCCTCCAAACTGCCATTGTCTTTTTTTGTTCTAGTGTTCCAACACAGTTTTGCATTTTTTATCATTACATTTGCAGAGATTACTATCTGTTACTGCCGACAAATCCATTTGTGTTTTGTACTCAATCACATATAATTAGTCTTTTCTTCATGAACAAAAGAACAGGTGTCTTTATCAATTCCGTGCAAGATACTATGGTAAGGTTGGTTAGACCTAACGATGTCTAGTGAACCAAACAACACATTTCTGACAGATGTTCATAGTAACAAGATTCTTTTTTCAAACAATCAACTGCTTCTACTCCTACACACACAAAGTAGAGAAAGAAAAGACATTTTAACAACTTAGAGGCTTATAATTTTTCTATAAAAGACATGAGTAGAATTTAAATCCTTCTCTGATATTTTTGCTTCTAACCCCCACTCTGACAAAGTAAGTGTAAAATTATTTGTTTTTATTTGATATTCTTCATTAAAATATATGGGGAGAGGGTCAGAAGAAAGCACATTAGTTGAAAAGCTGGTCAAATTTTAACAAAAGCTGTAGCTCTCTGTAAATTTCCTGATGTTGATCATTATGTTGTTATATAAAATGGTACCATTAGGGGAAGCTGGGTAAAAAGTGGAACTCACTTTTATTACTTCGTAATTTTTCTGAAGTCTTAAATGATTTTTTTAAGTTAAAAAATATGTGGTTAACAGTATTTTAGCCAATGACCTATACAAACTTTTGTACATATTGATAGAGACATTCATTCATCTAGTCATTCGTTCACTCACTTTGTATTGAGTGCTAACAATGTATTGGAGACCATTCATTCTAGGTTCTAATGATGCATAAGGCATCAATCAAAATCTTTTCACTCATGGAACATCCATTCTTCTGGAATAGAAGATCAAAAATAAATAAACAGCAACAATATGTATTTCAAAAAGTGGTGTATGCAAATAGAGAGTTCCAAGGTGAGAAGTGTAATTTTTAAGGGAGTGTTAAGGAAGGCATCTTCAACATTTATAAGATAGATGTTAGCAGCACTATTTGTAGTGACCTTAAAATAGAAACAATAATTATACACTAAAAGGAAAGTGAATAAATATGTCTGTCTACATTCATACAGAGGAATATTTTACAAAAATTGAAAGAAATAAAGCAAATATATTATCAAATACAAACCTCACAACCATAATATTGGGAATTAGAGTACACAAAATATATTTATAATATTCTAACATAAAATATTTTAAAATATGCAAAACAATATTATGAACTAAATTTTTTTCTTAAATTGCATGTATATGAGATATACAGAATTCCAGGGAGTTATTATATCTGATAACGAAGGAAAGCAATATTCCATCAGGGATATCACAACAAGGAGGTTCAAATATATTGATATTTTTAATTAATTTTAAAGCTAGTGCTAAGCATCCAGATAAACTTGTGTTAATTTTTATATTTTGTACACCTAATTTTAAAAACAATTTATTAAAAAGTACATGCAGTAGTTTATCTTAATAAAATATTAGTTTACATTTATGAGTTTGGAGAATTTTTTAAAGTACATATTTGACACAATGTATGCTCTCTGGTGTGTGTGTGTATGTGTGTGTTTGTGTGTGGTATGCATAATGACATTATGCTAAGATATATATGCATGGAGGAAGGTACAAATGTATACCTAGGTGCAAACTTACACTAGCAGTTGACCCAGCATCAGCAGAGCAAGCATTGTCAATTATTTTCCTAGAAAGAGTGAAGTAAAGATTTGTCCTAGTTTGACCCCACACTTGCACTTCTACCCTTCTGTCTCTCTGCCCCATGATAAATGTCATGCATTTGCAAAATAGTTGGCTGGGTTAAAGTAGCATTTTGTAGAATAAATATGGCTAATTGGTTTCTTGGGGATTGATTGATTCTATCTTCATCAATTTATAATTTTTCAATTTTTTAAAAAGTTAGATAGACGGTGCTGACAGGGATGTTGATATATCATCATCATCTCCAGCCATCTCATTTTATAGAAAAAAAAAAAAAAACCCTGAGAACTGGTAATATCTTGGACTTAATGCAGATAAGTGACACAACTAAGTGGTTCCCTGACTACTTCATCTATATTTGTAGCCTCACTAAATCTACATTCATGTACAGATGTAATAAGCGAGAATATACGGAGAGAAAGTATCCTGATTCTTCTCTACTTAATTGAAAGCTTTAATCATTTAAAAAATGCTTTCACAGAAACACAAACTGACAATTCAAACCAAAATCGGCCAATCAACAACTTAGCAAAAAAAAAAAAAAAAAAAAAAACCGAGAGCAAGAAAGCTGAAATGAAATTCTTTATAATAAGGTCTTTTCTTTATTGTAAATCACATTTTATATGTGTAATATTAATTGAACAGATAATAATTTAGAAAGGGAGGACAAGAGCATTTTCATTCATTAGGTATTTTGAAGTTTTCTTCAAATATTTCATATCAATTTAAAAGACATTTCACCATAAAATATCTGGCTTCCTAAATTACTTTATGCAGTTTGGTAGATTATTAGCCTGATCACAAGATGACATTCATCAGAATCACAACTTGTTTGGACAGATATCAGTGAGCATTTATTGTGTGCTCAATGCTAAAGATCTAGCAGTGAAGACAGACAAATGTTAGAAAAATAATATGGCATTGTACATAATTTTAGAATGACATAAATTTACCTTCAGTTATCCATATATGATTATGCAAAATTTGAAAAATACGAGAACTATCATTCTTGCTTCTGGAGCTTGTATTTGAAATTTTTATAGACTGCAAATTCATTTTGTCATACCTTGAGGATTGCACTTAGTTTTTGAACTTCTCAACTCTACAGTTAGATTACTTAAAAACTATTTCCAGAGATAGTGTTATTAATCTTTGAATGCTCAGCATTTTCATTTCCCCTCAAAAATTGTTTAATTCCATTTCAGGTCTATTAGTGTTCATTATCTTTTTATATCATATATATTTATTATATATACTATATATATTCACAATATTCAAATATAATTTTCTTTTAAAATCAGCAATTTTGTCTTTAACATAAAATAACATATATATGTTATTTATACCTATATATATGTGCATATGCTCAGTGTTTACCTTAACAGGTAATTTTTGTCTGTCAGAAATTGTGTTCTAAGAAATATATAACTTGTTCATTATTGAACTATAACTTGTTCATCACTTGGTTCTGGGATTTAAATACCATCTTGTGTTGGAAGATATGCTTGTATTGTTCCTATGAGTGTTTATCATCATCTTGCCAAAAAACACTGTGATGGGAGTATATTCATGCCCACTGACCAAATGGAATACCTTTAAGCCTCTTATCTTCTCTTAAGTGCATACCCTCTCTCATAAACTGTATCTTTGCTGTAGGAAATCATTGCAAGTAGGATAAAGAAAAAGACACTAGCTTATTCATAGTTAAATACTTTGAAAGGCATAGTTTGGTAAGGCAGCTTAGCAATGCTTTAAGTATAAGATACACTGGGCCATACATTTGATTTGTAATCAGATTGTAAGAAGCGAATGTTTCTTACTGTAGTCGCTGTTTTCGTCCTTGGTCCCATCAATGGTACCATCTGGGTGCATCTGCAGGAAATATCCCTGCTGGCTGAATAACCTTGTCACGATCCCTTTCAGCTGGGGTTCTGCAAAACAAAATAATTATTCAAATTTTTATTTGGCTTATAAAAATGCACACTTACAAATTGTTAAAAAAAATCCTGTAAGTAAATACATAAATGCCAATAGCTTCAATATTGAATTACGTGTTTGGGAATTGAGTATTTCAGTAACATTATCTATGCTTTTTTCCATCGAGAGGTAAAGCCATAACACTTTTAGCAGTAAACTAAATGCAAATAAATAAAGGCTAATTATGATTAGGAAAACACAGAGACACGCTAAAAAGTGAATTATTTTGCTCCCTTGTGCATCTGGTGTCTGACTACAAGATTTCACCAAGTTTATAGTCCCATTCCAGAATTATTGTTTAGGCCAAAATGCCTCTGTAATTACTAAAGTTTCTAGCAGTCATAATCAGGTCCATAAGATTTCTATTTCTGTAGGATGTCAGCTGTCCATCAGAAGCTCCTGGGTTTTGAATTTGTAATCAAGTTCAACCAGAGAGAATAGTTTGGATGAGAACCACAGGCAATAGCAAAACTCCCGTGGCCATGAGATGTCACTGGGAAATATGTGAAAATGCAAATTTCACCTTCACTAAATACTTCACCAAAGAGGAGCCTCAGTATTCCAAAGGTCATTTCTCTAGTACAAAAGAAAAAAAAAAAAAAAAGTCAAGTCATACATATTTCTCTAAGTATTTCAGCCAGGATTGTTCAACTTTTAAAAACTCTCTAAATACAAATACCTTCAAACTAACCTTTGTATAGCACATTTGAATTTTTCTGCATCAGCTAATATAAATATATAAAGCTTTCTCATTGCAGTGCTGACTGCCAGCAACAATCTAGTCTTCACCGCATCACCATTTTTGTCTCTATTGTTGAGCAAAAATGAATTATTCTAGTGCACTTATAGCTCTAATTATTTCATTAAAATGAGGAGAAAAAGGTAAATGCTGCTTCCGGTGATAAAAATTGAGGCAAAGATGGAAATCGTATGATTGCTAACGTAGCAACATGGTATCCTCAGAAGGACAATTGCTGAATTTAAGCTAGTCAACTTCATCTTCCCTCCATTTATTCAACTAATGTTTACCAAGACTGTCTTTTTTTGGCCAAACAATACGGTAGGCACTGTGTGTTACACTGAATACATGTATTGATGTTTATGTCTAAAGAATTCTAGTTAAGCATTTAATGTGATTATTTCTTTGGGAATTGGCCTACACGCTCTAACAAGTGTCTACAGTTGGGACTTTTGCACATGTGACTTGATCACATTCACATTATTTGGGAATATGGGGAAATGCCTCTGTTAACACACCTTTTTCAAAGCAGTCCTAAGAAGCAAAAGAGACGTCAAGAAAATCAGGAATGAGGGAGCAGGCTAATGAAAAAAGAACTGAACTGGAAATTAGGCATTCTAATTAATAGGTTTGTACTGTCCTTATGAGTTAAAAAAAATTCATTTTTTTTTAAGACAGAGTCTCACTCTGTTGCCCAGGCTGGAATGCAGGAGCACAATCTCGGCTCCCTGCAACCACCGCCTCCCTGGTTCAAGCGATTCTCCTGTTTCAGCCTCCTGAGTAGCTGGGATTACAGGTGCACGCCACCACAACTAGCTAATTTTTGTATTTTTAGTAGAGAAGGGATTCACCATGTTGGTCAGGCTGGTCTCGAACTCCTGACCTCGTGCTCTGCCCGCTTTGGCCTCCCAAAGTGCTAGGATTACAGGTGTGAACCTTCGTGCCCTGCCAATAAATTCAATTTTTTTAAATTTGTGGGTCTCAATATCCTCATCAATAAAAATCTGGAAGTTAAACTGAATGATTGTTCCCTCATATGAGTCTCTATTCACTTTAAGCATATTAGAATCCTCTGCCTTGAGTGGTGGCAGAAATAGAAGAATGGATTTGTCTTTAATGCATACTCTCCATAGGCTCATCCAATCCCACAACTATGGACAAGTCAGGGAAATACATGACTAACTAATGTCACTGCAAACAACTCTCTGTGTGCCTCTGCCTTTGGCTACCTGGCTGACAGGTAGCTTCTGATGTGGTAGAATCACCCATGGATTTGAACCACAAATGCTGTATGGCCCTGAGCAACTCATCTAACATCTGAATTTCAAGTTTTTTTAAATCTATATAGTAAGATAAAACACAGTCCTACCCTAACTATGATTATTGCAAATTTCACATGAATGATGAGAGAGTATGAACTAGAAAACCCATAAAATATACATCCTAATCAAAGTCTAATGTTTCAACTATGAAAATCAAGGACGCGGTATAAGGGAGGTAAAAGAAGAATTCTGAGAAAAGTATATGTTTACTCTAGCTTGTGCTTTAGTAAAATATTAACTGAGCTTGTAAAGCCACTAAAGTAAACAGTGGGCTAAAAGTAGAGGATAGAAAATGATAGAAGAGAGCAAAAGGGTAACTGTCTTACAAGTCATATTTTACTTCTAATCAGCCTGAAAGTCACTTTAAGAAGTCATGGTTTTATTGGTAATGAGAGGCATGACAGCTTAGTCATTAGTGCCTGTAAATGACTGTTTGTTTCCTTCGTGCTCCTCTTTCTGTACCTGTAATTAAACACTTCTTTTGCCTTGGTGGAGCCATCCCTCTGTTGGAGCCCTGGGGATTCGGGTTGGTAACTCATGCTCAGGATAATGAGCATCAGACTCTGAGCACCCACCTCTGAGAGTAGTACCACAACAGGCCCAAGAGTCTGTGTTTTAATTATGTTGTGATATGTGAAAATGAACATCCTGCATTATAGGAGTTTCAGGGAGACTTGACCATCTATTGAAAAAAAATACCCTGAACATAGATGTGTTACAGAAAGCCGTGTAGCCTGACTGGCATTTTACACATCTATTACCATCAAGTCCTACCAACCTTTCCAAGTTCAGCTCAACATCACCTCCTCCATGAAGGCTTGGCTATCATAAGTGAGGATCTCCTTTATAATGGGGAAAACCAGAACATGTTTTGCTCTATTTTAAAGAAAGGAGGTACAAAGTGAGACCACTTTTCAGCACATCCAGCATCCTGGGTACATTCAACTAACACACATTTATTTGTTAGACTATGCTCGGGGACCCAAGATGTGAATAAAATATTTGCTGTCCTCAGAGAGCACCCAGTCTGATTCACAAAACATATTTATATATAATACTAGTGTGGGAGAGCTGATAAATGAGGAAGTGAAGCACAGTGGTGTGATGGCACCAAGGAGCAAGGGACCAGTTCTGTCTGAAGGTTGGGATGAGGCACTTCATTGGGTGGAATGTCCTTCCTCTGATTTCCTTGCCTATGACAATCCTACGCTGGAATATGTAGGATTCCATTCCAGTGTAGGATTGTCATAGGCAAGGAAACCAGAGGAAGGACATTCCACACAAAACATGGCAACTCTAGGAATGATGCAGAGTCTGATTAAGACAGAATAGAGAAAAAGCGTTCTCAAATGCAGACACACAAGTAAGTGCCTGTTCTCAACAAATGTTCATAGCACAACAGTGACACTAAGACAAATAGGGTCAATGGAATAAGTTTTCCATGAAGCTATTTTTTTTCTCAGTTTATATGGCTCCTGGATTTTAAAATTATGCTCTTCCATTACTATTTTTCTTTTTTTAATGAAATGATGGCTATATTATTAGATGGTGGGGAGGAAGGGTTGGTTTGTTCCCTTTTATGCTCTAAAGTGGTGTGGCAAATACTGCTAACATTTCGGTGAAATCCATTTCCTCTTTTTTCTGGGCACCCAGCTAGACCATATGTCCTAGCCTCCCTTGCAGTTAGGTTTGGCAGATGAATGAGTGTCATATGGAATGTAAGTGGAAGTGATGTGTGCCATTTTCAGGCCAAGGTTTTTTAAAAGCAAACATTCTCCTCCACATTCTCTTTTCCTTAACACCGGCCAGATTAAGATAACATAGCCCTAGGGGCTACAGAAGCAACAGAATGGAAGAATGCTGGGTCCCTGAATAACAGGTAAAGAAAAGATGACAGCCATTGAAATAGCTACCTTGGACAGTGAAATGAATAAGAAATAAATTTCCATTGGCTTTGCACAATGTGCTTTGAGCTTCCTTCCAAAAAATACAATATGGAAAGGGAAGGAGTGAGTAATATTATGGTAGAGAAACGTAACAAACAAAGCACTATCTCAGTCAGGTGATCAAGGTTAATATCGTCAATTATAAAACATGCTGATATTATGTACTCTTGAGATTATGTGATGAGCATAGCACTTTACCTCTGTGATCTTTCTCAAAAAAACCCATGACCTCAGTCTAATCATGAAAAAAAAATAGACAAATGCCAATTAAAGAATATTCTACAAAATACTTGACCATTACTCCTCAAAATGGATTGTTCATAACACAAAGAAGCGATAAATGCTTGAGGTGAGAGATAATCTATTTGCCATGATGTGATTACTATGCATCATATGCCTGTATCAAAATATCTCATGTTCTCCACAAATATATACGCCCACCATGTACCCATAAAAGTTAAAAATTAATTTTTTTAAAGAAAACCCTATCAATGTCACTGAAGAAAATGAGTGTCTAGGAAAAAGTCATAAATAAAAGGAGTCTAAAAAGACATGACAACTATATGTAATGGGGCATTCTGAATGAGCTCCTAGAGCTGAAAAAGAAAAAATGAAGGAAAGCTGAATAAAGTATGGATTTTAGTTAAACATACTGTAATGATAGATTCTTAATTGTGACAAATGTCTCACACTAACGTAAGCTGTTACTATGGGAAATTGGATATAGGGTATATGGGAACTCTGTACTATCTTCGCATCCCCACAAATTTAAAAACATTCTAAAATAATAGGTTTATTAAAAATACTAAGTACAGCCAAAAAAGCAAGTAAGAAATGTTTTCCTCAAAGAGGCTGAATGATAAAGAAGGTAAAGGATAGGTCCTCGAGTTCAATACCACTTCCCTTCAGGATGACATGGCAGTTTCAGCAGAAGGTTTGAATTCAGA